TCTATGATTCTATGATTCCTCTGCAAAGTTAGTAGGACTCTTCACGAATTTTTCTGGCCCCAGCAATTTCAAATAATTGCTACAGATGCTTTGAGAGGACTATAGCGGTATGAAATCTCTCTCTGAAGCCTCTTGGAACAACTTAGGTGCCCCAAAACTTCAGAATTGTGCGTGCTTATATAACTCTGTGCCCACAGAGGTAATTTTTTGCTGTTCTCTTGCACCATGATAAATATCTGGATCATACAACAGATTTTATTTTTTTAACTCCTGTGGTACATCTGGTCCAAGGAGGAGCTGTGATTCAGGAGACAGCTCAGAAAAATAGATTTGAAGCTGCAAACATGCTGCTTGTGGTTGGATGTGATGCTGGAGGAAAATGAGAGGTTTTACAGCCTAGATGTTGCTTTAGCATATTGTGTGGGTAAGCAAGTGATCTGGAAAGAGAGTCCCAACTGCAGCTGCCATGGTAGCTGTCAGTCTGCAGCTGGCAAAAAGAATCCCGCATGTCCTACACGCAGGAACAGTACCAGGGGACAAACTGTTAGGGGACCTCTTTTGCCACAGACAGCTGAGGAGGCTTTTGTGTTATCCTAGATGTTGTCTGCCAAGGCAAATCCCAGGACTGGAGACCATTGTACGTTTCAGGTCAGGAACATATTCTATGGAGTTTTGGCAGCACCTTGAAGTGTTTCTGGGTATCACGGTAGCACTACTTGCAAATGGAGTCTATTCCTCCATGCAAGGATAGCTATTGTGACTTTATTGATGCTCCCATTTTCCTCTGGCACCTTCTTTCCTTTTCCCGCTCCCCTCTGAGATGCATGTCCCCTTGCCCCCTCTACTCCATCAGCTCAGAAAGTACTTGCCTGCTGGTGGATTTGCTCCAGTTGTCACTCTCTTTCCAACATAAGTGGCCAATTCTAGCAACCCTGCAGGGCTCACAGCGTGAATGGTGATGATAAAGAGTAGGTGGCATCAGATCCATACAGTCCTTGCTGCCTCATATTAAACTGTGCCACATATACCTGAGTGCTGGCACGTTACTGGGAGAGGTGGCATTTGGGCGAGATGACCCAGAGCAGGAAGGGCGCCCGGGCCAGGCCAATGCGAAACAATGCTGCGTGGGATAGTGGGAGGACTGCCAGGAGCAGAGCGGGCGGGAAGGCTCCCGTATGAACCTGAAAGCAAACAAACTTGCTGCCAAGTAGTGCTACTCCTGCTCCAAGGAGGATCACTTATTGCAGTTTGAATTATTAGCTCATTTGTTGTAGTAAAAGACTGTGTGGACACAAGGCACTGTGAGGAGACCAAACTAAAATTACATCTGTGTGCAGAAAAAGGCCTGGGAGTATATTTATATCCCTGCTTTGCTATGGGACTGTTATTGAAAGCACAATATAAATCATTATGTAAAAATCAAAATACCTCTGGTGTCTGCAAAGTGCCTGACATCAAAACACAAGTTCAATAAGTTAAGCAGAATTGCTAATACTTAATGCTCAAATAGATCTTCTGTAGTATCTAATTTATACTGCTTTTAACAAATGGGGCATTTGCTTTGACAAATGAACTTAACAATGTTCGGTGCTTTCCCAGCACACAACCAAAGTACTGACTCAGTTAACCACTGAAACAAAATCACTGGTTTTGGGGAACCTTCCCTTCTCCCTCCATTTCCTGCACCTTTCCAACTTAAGGAAAAAATTCAGCAGAATAATTTATTTTAAAGTCTGGATTTTTTTGTGTGTGTGTGTGTGTTATCTGACCAATTTAGTTATACAAAACACAAATCTAAAATCCTGCATTGTAGGGTAGGGAGTCTTTATAATAATAAAAAGTATATATAAGTCTTTATAAGCAATATTTGTACATGTGACTGGGGTTTTAGACTGTCCCCAAGCCTTGGACCTCTTGGAATTTGGGGCCTCTTTGGTTTATTTTCACATATGAAAAAATCACACTGGGGACCCTAGCATATACACATAAATCTTGTCAGTTAAATATAGATTAATGGGAATCATCAGGGAGTAAAAATACTCAATTTTTTATGGTAAACACCATAAAACATGGTAAATACTTAACCAGTTTTATAGCAAAATATAAGTCCTGCCATCCCCTCTCAGCACTCAGTTCCCTCTTTTTCAGGCATTTGGCTTTATTTGCAGCCTAAATTTTATACCTAGTAAGCACTATTCTTTCCCCATAATTCCCTGTGTATATAAGAAATACTAATTTCATACCCTCTCAGTGAAGTCCTATTTTGTGAGTTTTACTAACCACTTCCCAACTAAATAATGTTTTCATGTCCCAATTTGTGTTGTTACAGAAATCCAGTCTGATTTCTTAATCTTTGCAGAAATGGAAAGGGTTTTTTTTGTAGGATTACGCCAGATGGTGAGAAAAAGGAACAGAAAAGGACATAAGGTAATTTTCTAGGCAGTCTAACCATTCCTTGAGTCAAGGTGGATATGCTTATAGTAGCTTAACTCTTGCCAGTATAAATCTCCTGCATCCACATAAAGGTGGGATGCTTTATACCCATCTCACCTTTGAAAATGTTGCTAAGGATTTAACAAAAATGCTTTTGGTCATTGAGGACATGTTAAAAGACTGTACTTGCAGCCCACCCACTGGGACACAAAAATACACCAATTCAAACCTCTGTGTAGGTAAAATGGGACTATGGAGGTTGAACTACTTGGAAGATAACCTCAGCTGGACTAGGAGAAAGAAAAACAAAGATAATGGAAAAGAAACAGCTATAATAACCATCTGCAAGCGCACATGGCTTCTACTTCAGCACCCATAAAATTTAAAAGGATAAAAGAAAAGGAAATTGCTTTCAAAATAGCAAAGAAAATTTTATAAACATTTTTTGCTATGCTTTTATAGAGTGTGGGACTTGTTGCCCTGTTTCTGGTATTAGGCGTGAATAAGCTTGTATTAGCTTGTAGCATGAAGAGAGGTATACTCCAGGAAAGTCTTTCCTTCCCTTTCCCTTCTACGCTGTATGTACACACTTATTAATACAAAAGTGGCTTGCTTGTTTATTTATGCAACCCTACTGTAATAGTCACTTGGCACTTCAGCCAGTCCAGTCCAAGGGTGCCAGAGGCATTGTCCTGCACATTCAATCAGCTTGCATTGCTTGGTCTACATTTCATCCCATCCCACAGCTGTGAACAGGGATCTGTCCTAGCTCCCAGCGGCTGTACAAAGCAATGATCCCATTTGAAAGAACTGAAGAAATCCAACAGTGACTTCCCTGGACTAGGCTTAGGTTTTGCCCTTTTGCAACATGCACAGCTGTGGGCTACCCATAGCTTTGTAACTACTACAAGTCACTTAAATGAGGGCATGGTTTGACTGTCCTTCCCTTGGACTGCAATGCCAGATTCCACATCCGTGTGCCTCCTCAGGCTTGTTTCCCTCCCAGAGTGGTAGTAAGGCTCTCCTCTTCTAACTGGACTGGATCAGAAGCCCAAATCATGGTGCAGCCCCAACACAGTCCTGCATACGGCCAAGAGATGCCACGGCTTGAAGCTTCTCAAGGAACCCCAAAGGTGCTGCGACACAGGACCTGGGCAACCCGCAGCAGTTTTAAATGTATGGAATGAAAACCTGCTTTGTTGCCAAATACTGATCTTCCTAAAGAACTTAATGGGACTAAAGGGAGAAATCTGCTGCAACCTAAGAGTCATTTGTGCCTTTGAAACTCAGGCTGAGTTTTGCAAACTTCCAGTCATTTTAGAAGAACTGAGCTGAATTTGAATCCCGAATCGCACCAGGTGTGAGTTGTTTCTCTCCTAGGAAAAGAGAACAATGGCATGTACTTCACAACTTCATTACTGCCAAACTTCTCTCTAGCTTAGACATGATCCTTTCATAAATCCAGAGCTCGCTAATTATTATGGCTTTATCAAGAACCTTATTAGTGATCATTAAAAATAATCTTGCTTAGAAGGGGACTGCTGTGTGCAAGGCCTACCTTTCCTATTTACTTTGTGACTACTAATGTGTTTTTTTACTGTTCATACATTAGTGCAAGGAATAGTGTTAGCATAATTCTAGTGTAAAATAAAACCAGCTGTATCCATCTTAAGTGCATTACTGCCAGGAACTGTAAATATGTTTATGCCTGATAGCCTTTTGACTCAATAATATCCTGCTATCTCTGTTGGGCAGGCAAGTTTTTAAACCAAGAAAAGACAAGTTATGATTTTCATAACCAAATTGTGTTTGTTTTTGAAGTATGTTATCCAAATTCAAATTTGAAGAAGGTCATTAAAAAACTCTGCCTGTGATTTTAAAGAGAACAATTGAAATGCCATCTTCAAAGTGGTGGCATGAAGGTACAATGTGCACTAAGAACAAGTTACTCCTCCCAGATACACACATACGCAGACAAACCCTGCCATATCATACCATACAAACAATTTTAATTGTGTAGTTACAGTCAATAACCACTCCTAGTCAGAACATTTCTGCATAAAGAAAATTGTGATACACTTATAAAAACAGCCAGCTGTAACAAAATAACTGGTGTTTTCATAGCAATAAACTCATAAAAAAGAAATACACCTTTATACAGAAAATTTATACAGCTGTAGCTTTAAAATTGATTGTAAACCAAAGGAAGACACATTGCAAACATCAATTATTTTCACATTAATTGCATAAGTTTCTAAGGTGATCTATTAGTTTTATTTACCTAAGCTTATTTGCATGATAGTAAAAATTGCATACAACAATAAGAGTGAAGCTTATAGTATGAATTGCTTGGATAACATAGAGCACTTTTTATAGGCAACTGTGTAAAGCACATTTTCTCTATTTAAAACTTTTAAGACACTTTGTTTTACTGCCCATCAAAATACATTTATAAATAGAAAAAAAAATCAGTATGATAACAAGAGAAGCAATATTACATTTAACGGAAACTTCCAAAAAAATTAATTACAACATGATGCTGCAGGATCTACAAATAAATAATGAGGACTAAATTGTGTTTCACATTTTCTTTTTCATTTTCTTTAAAACCATGTAACAATGAGAATGGAAAAAAAAAAATACAGTGACCTTTATTTCCAAAAGAAAACAAATCTGAATTACGGCAGTGCCATATAATACAAGGCATTTGTTGGCATATGTTATCTTTAAACTGCATTCCACAGTCTATAGTTCTTTTGTAACATACAATAGAACAAGAGTAACAAACTCTTTTTATTTTATTTTTTTAAATAAATGTGAGTTTCCAAAGATCAAGTGTGGAGTGCTACAGTAATAATTAAAAAACAAGAACAAAACAGAAACAAAAAAAACAGTAAATCACAAAAGTTGTAATGCTTGTCTGAAGGCTCCAGAATTAAAAATCACTGGTATCATGCTTATTGGGTACACTCACAGTGTATCCAGTGAACACAAATTAATATCAAACAATCCTCAACGCTTCATCTGTTGCTGCGAAGCAGTTTGTAAAACAGAGTAAAACATCTAGTGCAGTCTGCATTATCCTTTTTTCAACTTTTGTGCAAGTTTTGGAAGATTCATTGGCCAAACAATGAATAATAAAGGTTTTTGACAGAACGCAAGATGGAATTTTCATTTCATTAGTAAATACCAGTGGCACTGTTGAAAGAAAATAATACTTTTAGATCAGTCTTTCAATTCAGCATTAATCTCTGTGTTCCCTTCTACCGATAACTCTTCTTCTAGTTTAACTGAAAAAAGCGTGTTTGCATTTTTGTCTTGGATGCTGTCTTCTAAATCCTTGAGCAACTCCTCTTCCTTGTACTCTGCAACATCCACCTCCAAACCAGAATTGTCCTTCAGCTTCCCGTGGTGCTTGAGATAATATCGCTGGTTCTGAAAGAACTTGATAATGGTGTACTTGGGCAGGTCAAGCTGAGCAGAGAGAGTCTGGATTGCTTCTTCATCTGGATACAGGCCTACGTCTTGTATGAAACTCTGTAGGATCCCTAGGGCTTCCACAGAAATCTTTGTTCGTGGTCGGGGTTTCTGACGATTTTCATCCTCAGATTCAGCTGGTGATGCTACCGTCGGTTGCCTTGGGGGTAGTCTAGGACCTGGTTGCTGTTGCTGTTGCTGTTGCTGCTGCTGTTGTTGCTGCTGCTGCTGCTGCTGCTGCAAGACAAAGCACAGCATTTTTTGTACGTGTATTCTTGCCCATACTTTGTGTAACCAAGAAAATCCAGAAGGGGGGGTGGGAATGGGAAGCTATAAACAAAGTCTTAGTAAGTTTAATCAACAAAAAGGGGAAAAAGAAGTAAAAATAAAAGGCCCATTATTGCTGAACCAGAGTTAAAATATAAGTTAGTAACTCTGCATATCTTGCATGTGTCTGTATGTGTGTGAGCAGAGATGGGGATAAAGGGACGGTGGGATATGGACAGAGAGGTGGAAGGAACACTGGCTTTGTCTGACTGAAAGCGCCAATGATGAGACATAGGTGCGGCTCAGCCGACAAATTTTAATGAACATGCTCCATGAGTCCAGTGCAGACAAGACAAAATGCTAAGTAGGTGACATAGTACAGGATTAACTTGACCAGCTTAGCCAGAGCTACAGCAAGGGCAAAGTGAGAAAAGTGCCAGATGAGGGCAAACGCACAGGAGCTCTGCCAGCAACAGCAGCTGCTGCCCAAAACCAAGGGCTGCAGATCTCTAGCAATGGCAAAACTAAGGAAGGGAGTGGGGGGATTGGGGAGAAGGAGAGCATTGTGCGGAAATACCCCACTGCTGAGCCGACCTGAGCGCGCACTGACGTCTCGTTGAACTTGCAAATGTTACGACAGAACGGGTTAGCTTGGAAGCGCCTGATGTCACGCTGTCAAACCCAGCCCCGGCAAGGACAAATTGATCTGGAGGTAGGAAATCTCTGTTTCCCCTTCGAGCTCTGACCTCTCTTGCCTGTGGCCTCGGAGAGGGTCTGTCTTGCCTGTGTTCAAGTATCCCGTCATATAAACAAGGAACAAATGTATTTACCTACTTCTGTGTTTGTGCTGGGGATTATTTAGTTAATATTTATAAAGCACTAAGATGCAAAGCTCTAAATAAGTTGCACTATTATTATTAGAAGGGAACATGCTGCATTCCAAAAACTCAGGCAATAAAATGAGCCTGTATGCACATCAGAAGAATAAGATAAAGCAAATCATGATGTAAATAATTAACAAGAGCTTAAAATGAAGTTTTGCAAGCATGGATTCAGAAACATTCTTAAAAGGTGAGGCACTGAGCCCCAGGGACAGAAATGCTTTTCTCATCTACCACCCCAGTACAGTACACTATAAGATCACGTTTAAAATCAAAAGTAAATTTATCAGCTACTGTTTTTGTTGACAGTTCTCTTGCTTCACAGCACAGGAAGCACTGGTTAGTAAGATATTTTGGATCAGCAAATTTCTCGTCAGATGGTACAAACCACCAGTTATTATTAAAAAACAACAAGCAAAACAAGCAGTTGCTATCACCACGTTTCATTTCCCTTGGCAAATCTCCACTAGGCAACTTTTTGTGTGTTGGTAATGGTTCCCAAGCTTCCAGTTGCACCTCACTTGAAGACTCCAAGAAGCACAAAATACGGTACAAATAGTATAATTATTGGAGGAATTAGAATGCTCTCCACTTCGCAGCGCCACTCATGGTGTGGAGAGTTCGCTTAGGTCTCAACACCCGGTTTAGAATTCATTGCTTTAGGTGATCTCCTTACTGTAAGATCTGACACAAATGCTATTGGAATTAGGGCTCTGGCCTCATCCCTATTCACATCCTTTCATGCCTTATGGTCTGTGAGCAGTCCCATTCAAGGCTTCAGTCCCAAAGAGGTTCAAGACTACTCCCAGCACATCAAATTCTTAAAAGACTGGAGGCTTTCTACATACAGTTTGAGAACTTGTGTCTTAGCTACATATTTACGCATCTGCAACAATTACCGTGTAGAAGAGCAGAGACAAAGCTCAGGCCCAATCTCCCAATCCTTACTCTTACAAGTCATATTAAGAGATTACAATGCAACTGCTTATGTGAATTATATTTGCAAGATCAAACACACAACTTTTATCAACAAGGCAAGAAAATCTAAGTAAGTGGCATAGTGGTTGAATGTTTATACCATGCATAAGCTTCTCCTTTTATCCCCTTAAGAAGGGATTTTATTAAAAACAATGTACATTTTCAAACAAGTGCTGTTTTATTACTTAATATAGATCTTTCTCTCTCTTTTTGCTAAATCAAACAGCAAGTTTCCAGGCTTTCACAATTATTTTAGTACTTGATATCCTAAGGGATTGTCTTATTCAGTTTGCTTTATCTTTAATATACACTCGTGTTGTTTCTGGCTGTGAGATAACTCTATCCTTCCTAGCTTTGTAAATATTTTTCTGTATAGGTAATACAAATTATACAGTGGGTCTCAGCTGAGGTTGGGAAAGCACGGAGTAATATCTGCCCTTTAAGAGGGAGCAGTTAAAAGGCTGACCACAGGTCTTTCGTGAGAAGGGATTAAAGAGTCCCCAGCTCAGAGAAACAGCAGCCCACACTGCCGACCTGGGCTACAATATTTAGCAAAACAGCCAGCCACGCTCCCAGTTGGCAGTGCCCATGCCAGCAAAGGGTCGGCACAGCCCCCGGAGGAGGAGGGGGCATGGCCGGGGCTGCCCCAGGGTGGAGGGCGGCTGTTTCCAAGCCCCATGGTGCGCGTTCCTGCATCCCCTCCTCTCTCTCCCTGACACAGTGCCCTTGTGCCAGCTCACCTGAGGAGCAGCACCCAGCCAAGGTCCAGCGGTCAGCAGGCCTGGTAAGAAAGCGCCTCTATGCTCTCCTTTCCCAAGGGTGGTGGGAGAGGGGCTCTGAAGGAAAAACAAACAAACATTGACTCATCCCAGTCTCCACTGGGGTTAAAGTGGGATGAGGAACCCCCTTCCCTTCACTCCTACCCAGGGCGAGCCACCGCTGTTGAGAATTCAAGCTTAGCTTTAGACCAGCAGCGCAAGAAGGTCTTCCCGCCTTGCCGGTGAGGCGTTTGACAACTGGTGCCTAACGCCTCCGTCTTTCCGTCCTGACGCCTGCCTAGCCAGGGGCGGCCAGCACAGAGGCTCGCCCTGCCCGGCACACAGCTGCCTCTGCTCCACTGTGTCCACGCACACCTGCGAAAAACCACCAACCCGAAACAAAAACCGTGGGTGGTCGCCTGCTCGCCTTTGAGCTCCGGCGGTGGAGAGCAGCGCGCTCTTATCTCGTACCAGGAGACCTGCATTTAGCCTGGCCGGGAGGGAAGAAACACTAATTTCCTTTGCTCCGTTTAAAGCTTTATTTACTTAGCGCTCTGCGGGATTGGCCAAGGTAAACTAACCTGAATCTGTTCTGCTGGCACATGGATAATGTGGGAAGGCCTGTCACCATGGTGATGAACTGCATTGCTTTCTTGTTCATAAATGGCATCACGTTCAGGCTGAGGAAGACTGAGGAACCTTCGGATCATGGAGAGATTCTCCCAGAGGGTCCTGTTCTCTGGTGAGGGATCTTCTTTCCAACGTAACAGCTCACAGAGCCACCCCTTGAAGATAACACCAGCAAAACATTAGTTTTTTTCCTCACTTCACAAGGGGCAAAATGAAGGTGAAACGTGTAACTTTAGCGGCGCTGCGTTCTCTCACGCTGTCCCCCGGTAAGAAAGGGCTTTCACCGTAAAGGCTGGGCTCAAAGCAAACACCGACACGCCAAGAGGCCGATGTGCTATCTCACAGACTCTCACCAACCACAAGCATTTGGAAAGCATCTTTCCCTTACAGTGCTGCTGCTTGTTTGCTTAGAAACAAACCGGTTGATGAAGGCAGAATCCCTTACATGCTCCCCTCTGCAGGACAGGGGTTTCACCGACACCAGTATATTCTCCCTGCTGCCTATTTTCTTTTATGCATGGCTACACCCACCCGAGAGCATCGATACCGTGTTTCAGGAGCCAGCAGATTGTCTGCTAAGCAATTTTTAAACTCCTGGTACCGCTGCTCAGAACAAGAAAGTACTTCAAATACGTGTCTTCATTGTAGGGCTGCCTCATGTAAATCACAGCGGTAGAGGAGGTCCCTATGGTCCTTTCACAAGACAGGAATTCTTTGACTAGACACAGTCAAGTAGTATCTTCTTTCTATCTGCTAGAAGTAGAGGTGCCTCTGCAGGTGAACTTATTTCAACTGATAGATTATGATCTTTTTCAGGATTTTTCTCATAGACCCAGATAAAAAGAGTCTCTCAGTTTTATGTACACTATGAGGACTTGGCGGGGGGAGCAAGATATGCTCAAGCTTCTGATATACCATTTATACCATTTCCACACCACAAGACAGCAAGTTGCCTAAGAGCCTACCTATTCTAATTCAGACTTGGTTTTGGGATACATAATACGAAGTCGTCTACAGAATCCCCTGCAAGAACTGCAGTGGTTGCTAATTTGTTTCTAAAAGAGACATATAAGTACATCTTGATAATTTAACAATTGCTTTCTTATGTCTTCTTAAAATTTAATTGAAGATTTTTTTCTTAATTGTGCACTGGCAGTTTTAAAAGAAGAGTGCAAACACTCTAGCTCGCACAGTATGCATCAACCACAATTTTTTGGTATATTAAAATTTAGAAACAAAATATTACACATATAAAACATGCATACTTCCTTTCTTTTAGCTTCAAGGATCTGTTTTCAAAACTAGGTCCATGCAATTTTATTTCTTAATGCTGTAGGAAAAATAATGTGACATTTTATTGAATCAACAAACAATATAAATGTAGAGGAGCTTTTAGATCCTTTTTATACGTACTGCTAGTTGAAAAATCGTTTATTCAGACTAGTTTACTGCTAGATACAATAGGTACATAGATACAATATAGATATGTATTTTCTTGAAGACATTCATATCTTTAGCTAACAGTTAATAAATGCAGTGTAAAAATATTGCCATGATGGGAAGAAGTGAAAGTAAACAAATAATCTTAATGCATTCATATTGTATAAGAAAATATTTAGTGAGGTGTGTATAAAAATTTGAAGTACATTCTCTTGGTTATAAGTGAAAAACTGAACAAATGGCACAGGAGAAAACGCCCCTGAGAAACAGAAATAATCAAAATGACAAATGTTACAGAGATGGTGGCAGCAGAGCTGAGAAAGCAAAAATCTAAATGGGTCCAAAATCCACTGGGTGCTCGCTAGGTGTGCTAGGGAGGGAGGGGAGAGGGAGGGGAGGAGCAGCAGCAGAAGGGCCACCTTGCACCGTGTGGTGCAAGGAGCGCACCCCATTCCTTGACCACTCGCTAAGGCTGGATGTTAGGTATTGCCCCAGAGCTTAGCAAGCTGACTGGGAAACATGGCCAAACACCTTCATATAGAGCATGTACAGCCTGTCCCAGCTGGAATCTTATGGCATCTTTTTAGAACAGTAACAAGGGTCTTAGAATTCTCCCTCCCCATCGTAAGGCAATTAGCAGGTTAATGTACGAACTCTCCCTGCCCCTAACAAAATCAACATGTTGCTCACATTTCTATGCCTGCCTTGCTTCTGTGGGGATACGTGCTGGATTACGCTCAGCAGAAGTATTAGTTTTCTACAGTGAGTTAAAAGAGGTGCAATCAAGAAAGCATAAGTAGTTTGTTGGGGATGGAGGAAAGAAGGAGATGAAGAGAAAGCAATCTTGACCTTTTAATTGAAATACAATAGAAAACTTTTAAAGAAAAAAAAAAAAACCAAACCGAAACCAGAAACCAAAACAGCCCACCTCAGAGCATGAAAACTGTCCTTTGGTTGAAACAGAGCACAGAGCTGACTAGCACAGCAGTTTGGTGAAAGTAAAAAAAGACCACCTGTCCCCTCCCATGACAGCTCTCTAAGGTATACAGACAGACCAGAAAAGAAACGGCACCACACATTTAGAAGCTGCACATTATTTTGTCTGGTGACCACACGAATCGCAGATTTCTTTGGAAAAAAAAGATAGTAGAAACTCCTTCTAAATGCCCAGTAGTAAAAATAATTCCCAAGCAATCACATTTTATGCTGATTAAACATATTCTGCAAGAGTTTGTTCACTAAGAAATTCCTCCTCTTAAGGTCTTTCCGGTTTCTATATTATTAGATCAGACCTTATTTTTATTAATTACTCATGGCTAGAATATTTCCAGTATTTTTCTATCAACCTCTGCACTGAAATAATACTTCCAATTCCTTATCTACAAATGATTTGATGAATTGTCACCTGGAGCATGTTCCTGTTAACCTTTCAGGGAAGCAGTGATCTTGAGATACTGAAATCAGATGCTTCTGACAGGGTACACAGAACAGACTGCTATTCTACCAAAATGTCTCTTTGCCACTGGGTTCATCAAGTTTTTTAAGAAGTAGACATACTCTGATGAAATATATCATGGGCAACATGGAAACAACCAGCTGAATTCTTCCAAAATTAGAAGGATAGAAACAATTCTTCGGTCCTTGTGGTTTATTTCTGAAAATATTTATGAAAATTGATCTCACAAATATTTTCAGAAGAGAGCGAACAGAGGCTGTATGGGTTCACTTTGTTAGGAGACCAAAAACTTTAGACCAATATGCTTTCTTTTGCTTCAAAACAAGCAAGCAAAACCATAAGTATTTAGTTTCAGGTTCAGAACTTTGTATGCGACATAAAGCTCATTCATAAAAGTCAGCTAAATGAGAATGTATGAAATTATTTTGTAAATTTTAGGAAATCATACAGACTTTTCTAGTGGTGAATTTTACGTTCTGTAAAGTTTATAAGTTTGGTTTCCATTTGATCTAAAGAAGTATGAAGTGCTGTAGTTAATGCCGTACAATTTACAGGTGAACCTAACAAGGCTGATTTCTCTCCTCTTCCACTCAAATTTAATTCTAGAGCAGTTTCTGTCTAGTTCAAACAATTTATTCTGAAGGAGGGCTTGGACTACTGGTTTTTAAATCTCTTTATAGTCATACAGGAAGTGGAAAGGACCACAGAATAATAAGGAAATATTTATACCTCAGATTAGATCACAACTGGTTTATACAGCATATACAGTCCATCATTTAAAAAAAACAGCCTTGAAATAATTAAGTCGATATAACTATGCAGCAAGGCAAACCCCCAAAACTCTGCAATGACATTGGGAACAACCTTGATTTTAAAACAGAGTAAATTTGCCAGGCAACTTTACACTGAATATAAAGAGAGTACAAAGCAAAATATAAACATTAGCCACATGTAAATATGTTTGGAGAACTTTCAGGATGTTAGTACTTTTCAAACTGACAAAGTTTAATTTGACACCTTCTGTTCTAAAACCTTTGTTTCTATTCAAAATCACGCCTTTAGCTGCTATCAATCACTATGCTCTCCCTATTACTTAAAATACTGGCATGGGCCCTGGATAAGCTGAAAATGCCATGCAGATGAATTCTGAGATAATATGTTCAAACCTGTTATATACAACACAAATCCTGTAAAGTTATGTATTGTAAACCTACATTTATTGGGAACTAAAAGTCTTAAATCCATCTGCTACAAAGAAAATACTGTTATGCACTTTCAAGTAACCAAGTACCATCTGCAAAGGTCTTGCTACAGTAAGCAAGAAAATGGTGAAAAAAAAAAAGATGCTAAACCTAAGATATTTAAAATAAATAAGAGTCTTCTGTCTGGTTTTCTGATGGGGATTTAGTAAAGAAACATAAGACATTAGAGGAAAAAAACCTGTGAAAGCCGAACTGCCAAACTATTGCAGGAAAAGCGCAAAGAGGATAACTGCCAAACATTAGGCTCTGCAGGACCCACGAGCACGCTTATTTTAAAGAAAGCATCTATGCATTTTAGCTATGTATCCAAATGCTGTTTTATTCAATCTGACCTGTGCTGTGTTTATTTAAAATCTTCTGCTCTTTCACTTGTAGTTTCCAACAAATTATTCTTGCATTCTGGTATCTTTCTTATTAAAAGAAAAAAAATTATAATTGAAATCTGCACTTAAGGTGTAAATACCAATGCTAACTAGATCAAAGAGGGCAACATTACAATCATGGAAGATGTTTTCTGGGCAAGGCTTTCCAAATCAGCAACAAACACATCTATTCTCATAAGAAAAGGATTAAAGGTGGAACAACTGAACTCTTTTGTTTGGTGAATTTGTTATAGTGACAATAATTTGCCAAATGATGAACATTTCTTACAGAATAACTAACAGAGACTCCAACATTTTTTAAAAGAACTGTAATTTGTATCTAAGAAGGCAAAACATTTTAGAGTATCAATGCTAAGATATGAACAGTTTTTCTTTGGCACAGTATACCTAACATTATTTTGTATCATTCTCTGGGGCATAGAGTATAATAAAAATATATGGTGTTAAAAGAAATCAGTCTAAATAGGGAGGTATTTGATACAAACATTTTAGCAGAAAGTGTGAATTGCATTTCAGCATCTCCTGTGAACAAAGACTAAGTACATAATCCATTAAATAGTACTTCTGACTGAAAAAAAATTGAGTATTGTAGACTAAACTAAAGTAGGCATTTT